AATACTGCAAACTGCTTTGGGCTCTGATACCTATCATTCTAGCTATGGTTCATGGGGAAATAAGGCTAGACACCCTTGCATTTCTCAAACTTTTCATAAACTATATTTTATCAAAATTTAAAACTTGTGATTCAAAAGACACCACCAAGAAAGTGAAAAGACAACCCATGTAATAGAGAAAATATTTGCAAATCATACATGATGAGACATATCTAGAATATTATATATTCTAGAACATACACAACTCAATATTAAAATGATAATTCAACTAAAAAATAGGCAAAGGATTTGAACAGGCATTTCTCCAAAGAAAATATACAAATGGCTAAGGAATCTAAAAGGTATTTTTCCAAAGAAGATTATCAAATGGCCAATAACACATAAAAAGATGATGAACATTATTACTCATCAGGGAAATGCAAATCAAAACCACAATGAGATACTACTTCACATCCACTAGTATGGCTATAATCAAAAGAAAAATAGTATTTAGTGTTGATGAACATTTAGAGAAATTGGAACCCTCACACACTTCTGGTGGGAATGTAAAATGGTACAGCCGCTTTGGAAAGCAGTCTGGAAGTTCCTCAAAAGGGAACATAGTTAGCATAGGACCCAGGAATTCCACTACAAACCCAAGAGAAATGAAAACATGTATCCATAAACTTGTACACAACTGTTCTTACAAATATTATTCCTAATAGTCAAAAAGTGGAAACAACCCGAATGTCCAACTGATGAGTGAATTAAAAATATGGTGTATGTATATATACAATGGACTATTATTTGCCAATAAAAAGGGATGAAGTACTGATACATGCTACAACATGAACAAATTTTGAAAACATGCCAAATGAAAAAAGCCAGTCATAAAAGGTCACATATTATATCATGATTCCATTTATATGAAATTTCCACAATAGTTGAATCCACAGAAATAAAAACCGTTAAGTGGCTGTCAGAGGCTGGAAAGAGGGAAGACTGGGGAGTACCTGCTAATGGGTAAGGGATTTCTTTCTGGACGATGAAAATGTTCTGAAATTAGTGGTGGTGATTGTATCACTCAGTGAATATACTAAAAACCACTGCACCGGCTACTTTAAAATAGTGAATTTTATTAGCATGAATTATATGCTAAAAATCTCATAAAAATATGAAAGTTAAAAATTGGCTAGTTGAAATATGTTTGGGAAATTATTTAAATAAATAAGCATTTATTTAACTCTATTATCTATAGAGTGGAGAGCAGCAATAGTATTCATTACACAAAAATGATACTTAGCCCTACAAATTTTATATTTGATCTTAGAAAGCAATTTGAGATACACAGACATATACAGCAACTTAATTCCTTCTCTCCCCAAAGGCCATCAGCTGCCTCCTCAAAGCTTAAGCTCTATTATCAGTGGTTGAGTAGGCAGTTGGGCAGTGAGGGAGGTCAAAGCCTGGTCATCAGTTAATCCATCACTGAATAATCAAGTGTTGTAAATGCAGATTAACAAACAAACAAAAAAAGAAAAAACAGTTAATACTTCTTTGGGTTGACCTGACCTATCTAGTGCTCTTAAAGCACACCACTCCAAAGAATTTAATACAACTAAACTTGTATTACATCTCTATAAATTAAAATTTGGGAAAGAAGTTGAAGAGATCACAATACTATTAAAAGCACGGCCAGATTTTAAATTAGTTCTGGATATTTTATACATTGTCCATTTCTCTCTTTCTTGACTTAATTTAGAATACAAAATCAGTAAATGCTAGTAAAACACATTATGTAATAGCACTTTTTTCTGCTTCACATTCATCAGAACTACAACATGTATCTTCTAACAGCACTAATGATATGGTATTTCTAAGGATTCCCACGTTTTTCTTGAATTTATACATCTTAATATCTTTCCAAAGTCTCTTAATATTTTAAAATGGTACTTTCATCCCAAGAAGTCAAACAAATTTGCAGTTTATTCTTTTAAAAATGAAGTCAAAGCTGACATATCTATGAGAGAGTGCAAAACAAATGAAAAGAAATAATACTACAAAAACTGGGGCCACAAATTCAAATACCTGTATGATACTGGTTATGTAAATGAGTGGATCAAGTCAAGTGTGATGCAATAAAAAGTGGTTGAGGAACTGTGGCAAAAATGACAGCATGCTAGTCTGAAGGGAGCAGCCAACTGGCTGCCAAGGGATGTGGACCTAGTATTGCCAGATCTCATTTTTATCAAAGATCCAGAAATCTGGCTTTTTATGTGAACTCTGAGGGCCAAATGTTATGTATGCATGCATGTTTGTGTATTTAGACAAGGTTATTTATTTATTTATTTAGATAGGGTCACACTGTCACCCAGACTGGAGTGTGGTGGCATCATCACAGCACACTGCAACCTCAAACTCCTGTGCTCCTGTGAGGCAGTTCTCCTGCTGAGACTACAGGCAAGGCTTGGCTAATTTTTCTTTTTTTCCTTAAGAGGGGGTCTTACTCTTGCTCAGTCTGGCCTCAAGCAATCCTCTCACCTCAGCCTCCCAAAGTGCTAGGATTTACAGGCATGAGCCACCGGGACTAAATGTTATCATAAACAATTTATAGTCCCCTTTCTGATTACTTCTAGATTGTGTTAAAGGCTACATTTTCAGGTTGGTCCTTCCACAATAGGTACTACATTAAGTGGCATATCAAATAAATTTTAGTTTTGATGTATTTATTTAGCACAGGAAACATTTTCAAGCAATTGTACGGATTAAAAAATACTGCAAACTGATTTGGGCTCTGATACCTATCATTCTAGCTATGGTTCATGGGGAAATAAGGCTAGACACCCTTGCATTTCTCAAACTTTTCCAATTAAGTATCTCAAGGGCAGATACTGCATAGACCCTGCCTCCCAACCTGAGGGCAGAGTGTCTAGGAAGATATTTAAAATATATATATATATTTTTAACCAACACTCCATACAAATTTTGGCTTCTACTCCATATCATATTCATGATTATTTTAATACAAAAGTTGCTTTACTGTTTCCCTCGTAAAATTTATCATGTTAGTTTTGTGGCTTCACATATTCCGTAGCACAATGCTCCCTAACTCGAGGGCACAGGTCACCTGTTTGAGAAGGAAGGAGTCAGAATTTCATCCACTAAACCATTCCTGGAAGCCAAAGTCCTTCTTGATACATGTGGGTTTTAAGGAGTAAAATATAAATATACTCATAATGACTACAATATTCTGTTACAGCCTGTTGAATGAGAACGATTTAGTGAAAACAGATATTTTTGGTTTAATTCATCGGCCAGTCTTACAACCATCCCCAATGTTTTTAGATTAATGTACTACACTTTTTTTCAAGCTCATTTTCCTTTGGGCATCGCATCCCCCTGCACCAATATATCATCCCCATGGACTACAGAACAGATCTTTCTCCTCTTCCCACGTTATTCCCTCTAGGATAAATTCGCCCAGGTCTCCCACAAAGATCCTTCTCCCCAAACCCCGGATCCGGGGCGACGCCTCTCCGCGCAGAAGCCGCGGGAGGAGGAGAAAGAGGAGGAGTAAAGCAGGCCCTCCCGACGCCGGCCTGTGGGAGGCTGAGCAAGTAGGAGCAGGAGCGGTACCGGGCTCGGAAAGGCCCCACCCTCAGGAGCGGTCGGGCCAGGCCCAGCGAGGATGTCCCCACAGCGACGCTGGTTCCGCCACCCAGCGTGGGCAGGGCGTAGAAGCGCAGCGGGGGAGAACGATGGTTTCGCGGTGTTTGCCCGGGCCTCAGCCACCGGGACGCGGGCAGAGAGACATGGAGGACCGGTCGCACCGTGAGCTGCTCAGACAGCACAAAGGGCCCGCAACCGGCCTCCCGCAATTTCCTCACCTGTGCCTCGCAGCCAACCCGGCAGCGCCGCCAGGAGAAGCCCTGCACAGCGCTGGGACGCTACAAGACGCGGTGGCCTGACGGGCGGCAACAGCTCCAGCTCCAGCTTCACTGCTGCGGGGACTTCCAGGTTCGGTTCCCGGGAACGAGTCCCGCCCCTTTCCTCTTGCCCCGCCCTCCCCCAGAGTGGCGAGGATCCCGGATGTTACCTCTTTCGGCGCTCTAGATCCCCGCCCTTTCTTCTCAGGCTCCCGCCCTTCCGAATCGCTACGGGTCCTGCAAGGCCTAGGAAGAGTTTCGACGTCTCCTGGGTGGCTAGAGCGTCCTCCCGCGCTCCGTCGCGTTGCAGGTGACGGCGCCCGGAGGCTGTCGGGAAGTAGGCGGGTGACGTGGGGTTGACGAGCGCGGCGGCGGGTTTGCCGAGATCTGTGGTCGGCCGCAGCCGGTGCGGGGGGCGGCCGAGACCGAGAGGTGGAGAGGGGCGGTGTGTGGCCAGGGCCATGACGGGCAATGCCGGGGAGTGGTGCCTCATGGAAAGCGACCCCGGGGTCTTCACCGAGCTCATTAAAGGATTCGGTGAGAACCAAGGGGACTGTCCTGGGCCGAGGGTCACGGGAGGAGGCCCAAGCTGGGCATGGAGTGGTTCCCTGCAGCCACCGCCGCCCCGCGTCTGAAGAGAGGTGACTTCAGGAACCTGGAGTCAAGGCAGGGGAAATGTAGGTCTTCCGTCCCCTCCTCAGCCCGTGGCAGTCACGTTTCCACGTAGTTTTGAGAGCCACGCCACGAGGACGAGGATCGTGTCTGTCTTCTGCCCCGCTGTATCATCAGGTCTTAGCACCCAAATACTATAATTGACTTGAGGGCTTTCCCTCCCCGATCCCTTATGCATATATTTTCCTTTCCACTGCCGCTTTTCTGCGGAGCGCTCCCTGTCGCGGGCTAGTGGGGTCAGGTGCATCGCTCGGGCCATTAGTCCGCGGGAGAAGCCGGCTTGGGGTGTGCCTGCTCTCAAGGATGGGGCGTGTAAGGCCCCAGCCGCCAAGGAACTCGAGATTCTAGTTACTCAAAGCAGAACAACTTGAATGTGTGACTAGCTCTTCGGGACAGGACGTCCGCGCGCGCTGACTGGTTCAGCTCTGCTCAGTTCTGGCTTCCGGTGAAGTGAGTTTCCTTGAGCTAGCTCTATACTAGAGGCCACATGCTTACCTCGTAATTTCTCTCTGGCTATATTTATTGCCTTCTATTGTAAATAATCAACACATTTGACTTTTTATCCTTCCCAATTTCTCTTGTTCCCAGCCTCTTCTTTGGGCAGCAAGTTTCTTCTTATCTGTTCCATTTCCCAACTATTATTAATTCTAGCTATTATGTTAAAACTTGTACTCGAGATAACAAATGTTGATATAGGTATTGAATATTTGGAATATCATTTATCAAGCATATATTATTGTTCATCTACTATATCTTAGGCAGAGTGGTAATGATTGGCAATTTTTAATGTGAATAAACCATGACTGCTGTTCTGAAAAACTCACAGACTATAATATGGTATGTTAATTGCTGTGTTAGAGTATGTACAAAATGTTGTAAGAACACAGATTGTGGAAGAACATAGGGCAGAAGGAAAAGCATGACGTCAGTGGTGTTAAAGTATATGGTTTAGGCAACAGCTAGCAGAATGACTAACACATAACGTAACAGATTGGAGGAGTGTATTTGGATCTGAAGCTGAAAAGATAATAAGATTGTATGCCATGTTGTATAGTTTGGATTGCCCTGTAGTAATTGGGGACTTAACTGTCAAAGATATTTGAATGCTTCAATGACATTACTTTCATAGTTAAGATTTACTATGCTTGTAGTGGGCAGGGTGGATTGGAATGAAGTGAGAGAAGCTAGAAGTCTCTTAAAATGGTTAGAGTCTGAGGTGATTGACTTCACATAAAGTAGTGGTTTAGAGAGGAGGCGGTAGATTCAATCATTTTGCTGAATTTAAATCAACAGTTGCATGCGGAAATGTCTGCCCCTCATTCCTTTGGGAGCAGAAATACATCCATAACATGCTACATTAAAAAAGGAGTTCTCAGGGCTGCCAACCTTACAGTAGAGGTTGAGTAGTAGTATATTACTCTTACATAAAAGAAAAAAAGTCATCAGGACTGCTGACTGAGTGGATGTGGGGAAAAAGAGACAAAAATGACTCCATGATTTCTAGCTTGGGTGGCTGGTGAAGTACAATTACAAGTGAAGAGCTAGCTTGTTCAGTTTTGGATATACACTGAGTCCGAGATGTCTGCAGGTTTAGCAGTAAATTTTACCTTAAGAACCTTAACTATTATGACATGTTAAAGTTAACTTTCAGAAATATTGTACTAGGTAACTTTATTTTAAAATTAATTCAGTCCATTAACAGCTACTGCTTCAATTTCATATGTGCAGAAAACTTGTAATTGAAAATTATATAAATAAAGTCAAGCATCAAAAATGGCATATAAATGTACCTTATGCATCTGCACATTTGAAAAATAAAGCAATAACTGTTAACAAATTGGCTTTATTACCAGAAGAACTTTGCAAAAAGTTAAGCGATGGTAGTCTTATCAGATGCTTCAAAGAGAAAATCAGTTTATTCCAGTCATTTCCATCATTTCCATTTTTTCCATCTAATTCATGCATTCAAAAAAGCTTTTAGAAGTTGATTCTTTCAAAAGTATAGTATCTGTATGTGAGTGCTATTGTAAACTCGTTTTAAAAGTTCCATCATTGAGGGGAAATTATTCGTGGATGTAGTGAAGATATGAATACAAAGATTGATGGAATATAATATCATAGTAAAACAAAGCTTTTATTAAAGTAAGAAACTAATGGAGCAGAACTATACTTTTAATTGGTATGGTGCATACATAATACATAAACCTGCCAAAACAAACTATGATAGTTTACTAATAAAAATAGAAGCTATAAACATCTGCTTCCAGCCAAGATAGAGTAATGGAAACTGGATTTACCTTTCCTGTGATAAACCAGTGACTGCAGCTTTCATTTTAAGAAACTAGAAAATGAAGAGCACATTAAAACTAAAGTAAGCAGGTGAAAGGAAATAATAAAGATCAGAGTCGAAATTAGTGAAACAGAAGAGAAAAAAACAATGGAGAAAATAAATGAAACCAAAAACTGTTTCTTTGAGAAGATCAATAAAATTTGATAAACTTCTAGGTAGACCGATGAGAAAAGGAGGAGACATAAATTACCAGGAATGAGAGGGGTGAGATGAGTACGTATTCCACAAGTATTAAAAGGATAATAAGGGAATATTATGAATAACTTTATGACAAGAAATTGGAATTGTAGTTTAAAATCTTCCCACAGAAAAACTCTAGCCAAGATGATTTCACTGGTAAATTTTATCAAATATTTAAGGAATAATACTAATTCTATACAAATTCGTCCCAAAAAAACTGGAGAGGAAGGAATACTTCCTAACTCATTCTATGAGGGCCAACATTACTCTGACACCAAATCCAGCCAGACAAAGACATTACGAGAAAAGAAAACTGCAGACCTATATCCATTATTAACATAAATGTAAAAATTCTAAACAAAATTTTAGCAAATTGAATCCAAAAAAATAAAGGGATAATATATCATTACTACATGGGATTTATCCCAGGAATTCAGGGTTGGTTTCACATTAAAAAATTAATGTAACTCACCATATTAGTAAACCAAAAAGGAAAAATCATGATTATGTGCATAGAGAGATGCAAAATGCATTTGACAAAATCTAACATCTATTAAGAATTATGAAATGTTGGATTTTATCCTCCTTGCCAGTTAACAGCTTACCAGTTTCATAGATGTTACTAGACAACTTTTGGTTTAGAGATGAAGGATTTTATTACATGCGGTGTGGTAGGCAGCAAGAGATTACATTTGCACATTGGGTCCCTCGTCCTACAAGTCCATGGGGATGGAGGCAGAGTCAGGTGGAGGCTGTACACATAGTGAATGTGTATAATAAATGAGGAACTCTGAGCTTAGGGAACTTGTAATCTTATAAAGGGGCTGTTAGCAAACCTGCTAACCTTTGCTTCTAGGGAGATGTTCTCTTTATTATCTTGGACAGCAAATAAATCTTCCCTCTGCTCCAGAGAGAAATGCTTATCTCTATATTCGAAGTCTGTTTCCTATATGAACATCCTTGAAAAGATAGTCCAGGGCAAAGCTGGTAATCTCTCTCAGAAGACATGTAGAAACAGGAGAAACCCTTTGAGAATTGTATCCCCAAAATATCCACCCTTTCCACATGAAATATGCTATTCCCTCAGCCATTCTGATTAATCCGACCTGACCGACAGGGTTGGTACCAAATCTGTTTAATTTATCTCTGGTAGTGTTTACCTTAGAAAGCCAGGTGGCTTTTTAAAGTTTTTGCGTTGACCTTTCCTCTTGGCTCAAGCTGTTATCCAGGTACTGCAGGGTGTATTAGTGATTTTGCAGACTCCACCTTGGCATGCACAGAGGAAGTCTAGAATAATTCCATCATCTATAACAACTCTGACCCATAAGTTAAAGATTTGAATGACTTTGGGGTCCAAGGTGGTGTTTCCTTAATATGAAGGTGTATTATGATTGCTCCTAAGGTGAATTTCATCTTATTTTGAGGAGAGAGACAAGGAAATGCCGAGCTTTCACACAAGAAGTAGAAAATATATTCTTGGGGGTGCATATGGTGCCCCTGGAAGCAAGTGTTACAATTGTTGGAGCCCTGTAAATGAGACAGACTCAGTTTAGAGGCACAAGTTAACAGTGCCTCCAATTTAGGGCTCCCAGTTCTGTTCAAATAATTGAATCCTTGTTTTTGGAGACTGCTTGAGGACTGTCAGTCCAGTTTTTCCTATTTGGTCCCATCGCCACCCAAATGGGATTTATCTGTACCAAGGAATGACTGAGAATGGGGTTGGGGAAGACGCTTGGGCGTGTTTTTTTGTGGAAGGTGCAGAAGCTAGGATCCTCCCCATTGCTTCTGATGGACTTGTTAGTAAGATTAGGGGAATGACAAATTATTGCCAAAATTGTCTGTTGGAAGATAGCTTCCCTAGCAGTGGATTACATTTAAGGCACTCAGCAACAGTTTGGGAGAGCTCCACAGGAGTACTTTTCTTAGGGAGGAATGCTCCAGGTATGTTTTTAAGAAAATTATTTCCGAAATTAGTTTCTAAATAGAACTATTATAGACCTACCATATCAATGCGAATGTGTTAGTCAATCCATAAATATTTCAGAATGTTTTAATTTTAGCACCCTCTTTCACTTTGTAACAGTGTTCTGGTTTGGATGACAAGTCATATGATCATCATTTTTAAGACCAGTTCAATTATCCATTACAGTTTTTCTGACCAGCGCAGATAGTAATGTTCTTTCCTACCTCTGAACTTCTCGAGCATATCCCATGTACACTTCATATGTAATTTATGCATGTTGCACTGTCTTTGAATTGTATGTACTTGTTTCCTACTAGATTGTGAGGTTTTTAAGTATTGTGGCAATAGTTTATTAATTTCTGTCCTTGCCAGGGCCTAGTACCTTGATTGGCACACAAAAGATATTTGGTAAATACTAATATTTAATTAACTTTTAAAAACCTTCCCCCCTGCCCAACTTCTTATTTAATATATATTAGGGGAGTCTGTATTAAGTGATTCTTAGTGTTTAGTGTTTGATAACCTTATATACCTCATGAGAATTTTGTGGTTTAGATGAAGCAGGTAATATCCTTCTTTTATATATACATGAGGAAAGTGAGGCTCAAGGAAATTGTATTCTTTCTCAAGGTTAAGAACTTTGAGGCAGTTCTGAGATTAGAACCTAGGTCTCTTGAGTCGTTGCTTATTTCTTTCCATTATGCCATACTGTAGTAGATATTGAATATATAAGGAGCTAGGTGCTAATAGTTGCATACTCTATTTTCCTTACATAAAGAGGCGTGTATATGTTTAACATGAGATTATTTAAACAGCATCACCCCTTGAAATTCTAGCTGTGCAGAAGATTTTGGGGCACTTTTATTCAGTGTATTTTTGTTGTGGTGGTGGTGGTATGATATGTAGAATGTTTCAATGTTTGGCTTTTTTTTTTTTTTTTACACAGCTGATTTCCCATAAGAGTAACCAGTGTTAACAATTGCATTAGCATCCTTCCGTGCCCTTCTGACACTCACACAAGCATAGGTTCACATTTATGAGATTTTTTTCCAACTTGATATATGTGAATGTCCATTACTGTCAATCTGTTGCTAGACATTCAGGGGTTTTTTTCCCAGTTCTTCACAACAAAGCATGTAGTAACTCTCCTTGTACAATACTTTTAATACCATAGTGGACACTTAATAGATATTTGCTGAACAGAGCAAACTGAGGTACAGAATGGTATGAATGCCCAAAGTCACATTTTTGGTTGACTCAACTTTTTTTTTAAACCATTGGGTTTTGTAGGCAGCATAAAGGCGTCTCTAGCTCTCATTTAAAAATAATCTGGAATATTACAAAATGCCCACACTTTGGAACCAGATGTGGATTTTAATTAGTTTTCTGGCTCATACTAGCTATAGTGAATGTAGGCAAACCACCTAACATCCAAAGCCTCTTTCATTATCTTACCTTTTAGGGATTGGGGAAAATGCATTTAAAGCACTTTACATAGACATAAAAACATAAAAGACCCTGGTAAATATGGTTGTTTTTTGTATTGTGATGATAACTCTAGCTAACATATGGTGGACCCTTAGGGTGTGCTGGGCACTATGTTAAATATGTCTCATGCATTATCTCATTTATTCCTCACAACAACTCTATGAGTATGAGGAAGTTTGACCTCTCCATAGAGGTTAAATGATCATACAGCTAGTAAATAGAGGAGCCGGGATTCAAACTCTGGTAGTTTAGAGGCCAACTTCTTAACCACTACACTATTACTATGATACATGCTAGTAGAGCAGTGTTTCTCAGTTTTGGCACTGTTGACATTTTGGGCCAGATAATTTTTTTTTTTTTTTCTTTTTCTTTGAGACAGGGTGTCATTCTCTTGCTCAGGCTGGAATGTAGTGGCATCATCATAGCTCACTACAACCTCAAATTCCTGGGCTCAAGTGATCCTCCCACCTCAGTCTCCCAAGTAGCTGGGAATTCAGGCATGTACCAGATAATTCTTTGTTGTCAGGAGAAGTATTGTACAATGTAGGATGTTTATCTACATCCCTGGCCTCTACCCAATAGATGGCGGTAGCAAACTACCCCCACTCCAGTGACAATAAAAAATGTCTCTGACTTTGCCAAATGTTCGCTGCCGGGTACATTCACCATAGTTGAGAACAACTTTCCTAGAAGAGCATATTTGGGGAGGGAGAAGGGGAGGTGACTTTGAGGTAGTTAAAAATGTACAATTGTAATTTAGGAAAAGCATCAGAACCAAAGATGTGATTTGAAAGTCACTGTTAAGTGGTAGTTATTTACTTCTGCCCCCCAACCCACCCCGACCCCCAAAAGGTGAACAGTAAGAAAAAGGTTAAAGACAGCTGGGAAACTTAACAGGTGAGTAAGAAGAGTGAGTGAAGAGGAACCAGAGATTGAGAGAGACAGAAGAAACAGTCATAGGGTGGTGATTCAATGAAAACTAACTATTGAAACCTTTTGAAATTATGAAAGTAATATACTGCCATTGTAAATATTAATAATTGGGAAATTTTAAAGGAAATAATAGAATTTGACTGTGAGCTTTATCAGTTTTACCATTTTTATTTATCATTTCTTATTGCTACCAGTTGTGCATTTCGTTTGATTAATATTTAATAGGAAAGAAAAAATGAATTATTTTTTTCTGAAGAAGAAATAAAGAAGATAATTTCTTTGTCTTCTGACGATAATTTCTTATTTCAGGTTGCCGAGGAGCCCAAGTAGAAGAAATATGGAGTTTAGAGCCTGAGAATTTTGAAAAATTAAAGTGAGTGTAATTTTGGTTGTGTTAAAAATAATATGACTATACTTTAGCAAACTTTTAAAGGGTACTCTAATTTGTCTGTTTGTTTTACTTGGATTACCCTAGGCTGAATACATTATCTCCTTTAAGTCTCTTTTCAATCCTCTGAGATAGGTATTATTATTTTCATTTTATAACCAAGAACCTGAGGCTGATAGATGAATAAATTGCGGGGGATTCAAACCTGTCTCTGTAATTTCGTATCCACACAGTATTGATTGGTTGATTTTTTTCACAAAATTCACTTATCTATCAATAACATGGACATTTTAACATAAAAACCTGAATAATAAGTCAGTCTACAAAAGCATATTTAATAGAAAATATATCTGAATAGTAATTCATAACTTATCTACACATTATCACATTGCTTCTTGGGAAAGTTACAGTTCAAATTTCAAATGTTGATGCCAGGAAGAACCTTCCCCTGTCCCCATCTTTCTGACCAGAATCATCTCTCTGAGCTTCTTACTGCTGACCTCCATGTCCTCAAACACTGACACTGTATCTGCAAATGGAGGGCCATAGGAGTTTTCATTGGTGGAAGAGTTCTTGGAATTTTGGAATAGGGACAAGGAATAGGCTTTAGAAGGGAAAATGGGGACTTAGGGATATGACAACTGTTTTTAATAGTAAGGAGGAGGTAAGGTGGTTTGCTGCCTCCTACCTTCCTCTTCCCCTCAAAAAGAACAGTCACTTTAAATGGGATGAGATCAGTTTTGTCTGAGATCGGTGAAGGTTAATTAAAGATGCATCATTTGAACTGTCTTTAAAACGATAGGAAAGATTTTTTTTTTGAGTGGAAGGCAGTTGTGAAAGATAGACTGTAGGTAATCCTGAAGTAGTGATTTAATGTTTCATGGGCAACAACAGTTCCTTTAGGAAAGTGGATGACTTCATTATGTATGAGATGACAGCATCCATTCATATTGTAGTATAGAAGGATTGTGCATGAATCTAGTAATATAGGAAGGTAGCTTCCTATATTTAATACCAGTTATATATATACTATCAACCATTTATCTGTAAACATCCTACATGAACTTTATTGATATATCTTCGAATTCAGTCTAAGGTTAACAGCTTCTACATTTGCTATGTTCTAATTTTTTGTTTTTGAGTGAGGTGATATAAGGCAGAAATGAATAGTCCACAGATTTGAGAATAAACCTTTAATTATAATTTTATTGTAACTGATGTAATAAATTCTATTATATTATAAGGCAACATTTAGTGACTATGAATGGCAATATCAATCTTTAAAAATTTGCTCATATTTAATTAATTAATTTACTTCATTTGCATTGTATTTGTTAAATAAGTGACTAAAATTTCATATATTAACAACGTGTTATAAAAGAAGCAAGGTTTGGTGTCACTAATTTGTGTTTTATTTTGTAGGCCAGTTCATGGGTTAATTTTTCTTTTCAAGTGGCAGCCAGGAGAGGAACCAGCAGGCTCTGTGGTTCAGGACTCCAGACTTGACACAATATTTTTTGCCAAGCAGGTATGGTCCTTGAATACTCTGAAAAGTCTCAAGAGTAACCCTTTTTATAAACAGAACTCCAGTCTACTAGTGTGTGCCTCTAGTATAGCAATCCTCAGACTTGTTTGTCTCAGGACCCCTGTACACTCTTATAGATTATTGAGATTCCCCAAAGAGCTTTCGTTTATGGGATTATGGATCAATATATTAAAATTGAAACATTTAAAAATATTTATCAGTTGTGTTAAAAATAACAATAAACTCCTTACATGTTTACATATATAACATATTTTTAAATGACAACTAACTATTTTTACCAAAACAAAAAAATCAGAAGTGTATATTGTTTTACATTTTTGCAAATCTTTTTGATGTCTAGCTTAGTAGGACACAACTGGATTCTCCTATCCGTTACTTCATTCGGTCTGTTGCAGTGTTGTTGTTTTGTTTTGCTTTTGGTTGAAATATGTGAAGAAAATCCATTCTCACATGTATGTGTAGTTGGAAAGGGAGGAATATTATCTTTTCCTGATAAACGAGATATTGTTTGATACTATATCAAAACTTTAAAAGTCTTGCTTTCTTAAAGGTTAGTTGCAATGTGAAATTTGTACTTTGTAAAATCCTTTTGTTAAAATCCTTTGGATTATCTTGCCCTTCAAATGGGTCTTTTTTTCCTGCATAATTTTGTACCATTGTACATTGGTCATTTGGAAAACTTACCCATTTATGTACATCTTCAAAGTGTTGATACATTTGATATACTTTGACAATGATATGATTTGCCAGGAAGTCACATTTGTTAATATCATCTATGATATCATTAGAAAAGTTGTTAAGTATCAAGGAATTTTTAAGCTCACAGTGATGGATCCAAGTTTTATAAAGTTCTGATTTTTTACTTCAAAGTTCAAACTTTATTAATGACAACAAATATCATCAGGTGTTTTTTCCGAGGCCAGAGACTGATTTCACTCATTTTGAAGAAAATATCTGCCAGATACCCTTGTCTGGAAAACCATATTTGTCTGTCATTTCTTCTTTCAAGTAAAAATGGTGTTTCAAGAAAAAAGCTGCCAATTTAGCTCACAACTAAATTGCCCAAGTGCCTTTCTTTGAGATAACTAGCATGTTTTGGTATGCAACAGCAGTTCTTTATTATTCCTTCCTGTTTCATTTCACAGAATATTAAAGACTTGTACTTCAATGTAGAAATTTAATAAGAATAACTTTTACTGCTTTATCAAAGACAGTTTTCAGTAAAAACTGACTTTCTGTTTTATTTTCTTTTACTGTGTGTATGTCAGTGAAGTAGTTTAATGCCACTGTCTAGATTTGTGCTAAAATTCCAGCAGTTTTATATACTACTGCTTTTGTGCCAACTGCAGGTGGAAAAGCGGGAGAAGAGGCAAAACTTTCTTAGAACTGTAATGGAAACAATTTTGAGCTCACAGACCCTTTGAAAAGGATCTTAGGGATTCCTAGAGGTCCATGGACCACACTTGAGAACTATTTTTCTAGTGTATACGATGATTTGAAAAATAAAGTTTGTTTTTTTTTTTTTTGAGACAGTTTTTTTTTGTTGTTGTTTTTCTGTTGCCCTGGCTAGAGTGAGTGCCGTGGCGTCAGCCTAGCTCACAGCAACCTCAAACTCCTGGGCTCAAGCGAACCTCCTGCCTCAGCCTCCCAAGTAGCTGGGACTACAGGCATGCGCCACCATGCCCGGCTCATTTTTTCTATATAGTTTTAGTTGTCTGATTAATTTCTGTCTATTTTTAGTAGAGACGGGGTCTCGCTCTTGCTCAGGCTGGTCTTGAACTCCTGAGCTCAAACAATCTGCCCGCCTCGGCTTCCCAAAGTGCTGGGATTACAGGCGTGAGCCACCGCGCCCAGCCTGAAAAATAAAGTTTTGACTCATGTATTAGATGCCTCCATATATTTGGCTTGTTTGGAAAAGCTGAAAAAGAGAATGATTAATTTGATTAATTAGTTTGATTAATTAATTATTTTGATTAATGATTGAAATCCAAGCTAAATATGATTGTATCTGTTTTAAAATTACACTTAGTTCTGAGACCCAAAAAATTGCTTAGAATAATCTGGTTAACCTTTAGAAAGGTGGAAAAATAAAACTGCTTATTCTCACTATTGCCCTTGAGATAAAGCCTTTGCTATTCTACTAAGTAACTTGTTTTCCTTTTTTCTCTTATCGTATTGCTTCTTTCCATTTTCCCCTGATTTTTTTGAATTGAATGTTTTTAGAGAAATTAGAACTTTCTTGCTTTTACTTTAAGGAAAATATGGTTTTATTATTGTTTGGTTAAAAATATATCATTTGGTTTTTTTTTCTGATAGCAGAACTTACATTACAGAAATATATATATAGTGATGAAAGTGAATATCCTTGTAATCCCACAACCATCTCTACTAACCACTTGCAACAGTTTGAATTATTCATTTAATTGAGAAGTAGTTAATTGAGTACCTACTTTGTACAAAGCATTGTTTTAGGTAATAGATATATAATAGTTAACAAGACAGTCATGTTTTTTCTTATTAATAACAATTATAATGATAATAATATGAAGAGTAGTGGACATTTACCACTCTTATTATGTGCCAGATATTGTGTGTTGTGCTTTAGATATATTCTTTATTTAATCCTTGCAACAACCCCATGAGGTTCTTACCTTCATTTCATAGATGAAGAAATTGAGGCCTTGAAAAATTATTTGCCTGAGGTCACACAGATAATATGTGGTGGTCCAGAACCAAAACCCGGGTTTGTGATTCTACATGTCATACTACCTCCCACATTTTGTAATCATATGCTAATATATTCTCCTTATAATTTTTTTTACTAAACTTGGATTATTCAAAATATTGTATATCTTTTTTCACTTAATAAATTATTTGCCTGAGGTCACACAGATAATATGTGGTGGTCCAGAACCAAAACCCGGGTTTGTGATTCTACATGTCATACTACCTCCCACATTTTATAATCATATGCTAATATATTCTCCTTATAATTTTTTTTACTAAACTTGGATTATTCAAAATATTGTATATCTTTTTTCACTTAATAATAAAAGTTTGACTTTGTTTCATTTCAGTACACGTAACAGATACTAGTTAACATTTATCA